TTAATTGAATTATGTTTTATGAAAATTTTGAAAAATTTGTTTTCACGGAAAAGTAACTTTAATAGTTCTTTTCACATACAAATACAATCTTCTTATAGTTTTATTTTATAATAAGACTATACATCATTCATTTAAGCATGTCACTGTTGCTTACAGGTTACGGTCTTGGTCATTGAGACTGCATTTCACATTTAGGAAAATAAGAGTTTTTATGTTTCAAATACATACGGTTTATAAAACGATCTTTTCATACACATTCCACACATTTATAAGAAAATATCGGATGTTCTGGAAAACATACACAAACTTTCGAATGACATACATTCTCTCAAAACACTATTTATGAACTCACCAACTTAATTGTCGACATTTTTTTTTAAATAACTTGTATTCTCAGGGAACTGCTAAGCCAGGTTTTGCAACAACTTTTGGGATTAACGTTCTGACGTTAATAATTTCTTTTGGAACATGATTATATATTTAACTTTTGAACATGTAACAGTTACAATCATGTAAACTTTTTGAAATATATTTATAGTAGTGTGTACTTTCCTTACTATGGAATTGTTATGATACTGAATATGACGTCCCCCGCCCCCGAACGTTTCCGCCGTTCAGGTTTGGGGGCGTGACAAAATTGTTCCCGGCATAACCACCAACGGAAAAGACTATGACGGGTACATTGTGAGTTTTGGTGCATGTGGGCATGGTTTCAACTTTTTCTTGGATTACTTTGATAGTAAAGTTTGCTACACGTTCCATTACACTTATGTCGACTTTACGAGCATAAGGCTTTATTGTAAATGAGGCATTTTTGCCATGCGAAGATAACACGAAAATGGTGGAAGAATTCCCTTGAATTCTTACATCGCCCTTGATCTCGCAAGTATCTGATCTTTGTTTTGAGGTGTTGCAGATTTGCTTCGTATCTTCTATTTCAACATCTAATAAAAAAAATGAAAGTTAATTTTTTTGTTGGATTATCTATTGCTAAAAAAAATTTTAAAAAATTATGGGCATGACTTTCAATATTTGACAAAATGCTTAGACTTACAAGATTCCAAGGGTTTGGTAGCTCTTTCGGAAATCATCACCAATTTGAGCCCATCAACCAACGTCAACCTAAGTTTCGCTATGACAAAACCACAAAATTCAACTCATACATATATATATATATATATATATATATATATATATATATATATATATATATATATATGGGGAAAAGTGAATATATGTTATAGCCCCACACAAGCATAGGTATGCAACATAAGAAACGTTGTCGTTTTGAGCTAATTTCAACAATTAATCGATTTGCTTGATAACGTAATATTCCAAGCGTATCTTGTTTCCTTTATTTTCGGTATCACATGATTTCCTCACTTTCAGAAGTCGATTGTGTTTAATCGGAAAAAAAAATCATGGCTTGTAATTGGAATCGGTATTTTGATTAGAACGAGAAAGTATAAAGGGTTGAGATTGAAATTATAATTTTTTGCTAATCGCTCTGTTTGTTCTCGATTGTTGCTGTTTGAATATTCTACACCATATTCAAGACATTGTTGCAGGTTACTTATTTTTTTATAAGATAAATATTCATTCCTCATATTTATAAATTGATTGTCTTGTAATTAGAATTGGTGTTTTTTTAATAGGACGAGAGAGTATAAAGGTTTGAAATTGCAATTGAAATCACAAATTTTTGTTGATTTGATTGTCGAACCTTGTTTTCTCATATTCACTATGTTACTCAATTTTGTAATTGAAATTGTAAATCTGATTATTTAATTTGCTGCCGCTCGATTTTTTCAGAATCATTCTGTTCTACTTCTCAATTTTTATGGATTATCAAAATGTTTGTTATCAATTGTTGTTGCTCGAATATTCAAGGCATTGTTGCTCGTTAGGTATTTTTTTGTAAGATACATATTCACTTGTAAAATTTATTTGTTCTTGTTGAATTATTTATTCCAAATTTTGGTGAACGATAAAAAAGAGAACTATGAACAACAAAAATTAAAATGAGTATAGACTTAAGAATGTTATCAGTGTGGTGGCATTAGGAAAGACCCAACATACATGAAAAGTTTATATGTGATCAATCTTGGTGAAGGATATTTTCTAATTATTGGTTATTGTTCTATGTAATATACAGGGAATGATGTCTAAAGCTGGAGCGGATGAGCCTATCGAAGAACATACAACGGAAGATGCCGATGCAAATGATTTGCTAGAAACAACTGAAGAACTAAAAGATGCAAATGTTGAATGCGAGGAAAATGAATGGAACAATGAAAGTATTTTGGGAAAGGTGTTCGATACACACAAGGATGCGTATAATTTTTATAATGATTATTCATTTGTACATGGATTTGGTATACGTGTCCATCACAAATATAAAAATAAGGAAACAAATGAACCTTTTCGGAAGATATATGTGTGCAACAAAGAAGGTTTCAAAAGAAGGAATGATAATACTTCAAATGGAAATGAAAAAAAACGTCGTAGAGATGTAAGAACCGGTTGTAAGGCAATGTTTCGTATTACAAAAAATAAAGAAGGGAAATGGTTTGTGGACATGTTTAACGACACACACAATCACGACTTGAGCATGACACCAACGAAGGTGATGAAGCATAGATCTCATAGTAAGATCCATCGTTCAATGGAATGCAAATCTCTTATTGTGGAACTAGGTCAAGCAGGATTAAAGCCATCTCAAGTTAAGAAAGCTATTAATGCAATGAAAACTTCAAATGAAGCTGATGTTACTTCAAAACAATGTGCTGATGTCTTATCTGAGCAACGAAAACATTGTAGAGGAAAGGAGTTTTATGGAGTTATAAAACATTTCCAAGACAAATCATTAGTGGTTAATGACCAATATTTTTCGGTGGATTTGTATGATGATGGGAGCCCTAGGAATATTTTTTGGGCTGATGGAAGATCAAGAGACGCCTATACTAAATTTGGAGATGTTGTTGTGTTCGATGTAACTTACATGACGAACAAATTTAAGATGCCCTTTGCTCCTTTTATTGGTGTGAATCATCACGCACAATCTATTCTATTTGGTGGAGCATTGCTAGAAAATGAAAAGGAAGACACTTTCGAATGGTTATTTGAGCATTTCCTAAAATGTATGTTTGACAAACATCCGAAGGCAATTATTACTGATCAAGACAAAGCTATAGGTAATGCAATAAGAAAAGTGTTACATCGTTTTTGTTCATGGCATATTAAGAAGCACGAATTGGAACACCTTCGACCATATGTTGCCCGTTATAGTGATTTTCAAGAATCATATAAAGAATGGGTAAAAAGTGATACAGTTGAAGAATTTGAAAGTAGGTGGGAAGTTATACGTGGTAAATATAATTTAGAAACTAACAGTTGGGTAAGTGAAATGTATAACCAAAGAAAACATTGGGCTAAAGCCTTCTTAAAGGATGTTTTCTTCGCTGGTATGACAACAAGTGGACGGAGTGAGAGTATTCATTCTTTTTTTGATGGATATGTTAATTCAAGGACTATGTTGAATGAATTTGTCATACAATATGATAAAGCAGTTGAGTCTCGTAGGTCTGCTGAAGAAGATGAAGACTTCAAGACTATGAACTCGAGAGCTGTTCTTTCATCTGTGCATCCAATCGAAGCAAAAGCAGGTGAGTGTTATACTAGAAAAGTTTTTGAGATTTTCAAAAAAGAATGGAAGGAGGCCACTAGCAATTTAAGTCATGAGACTTTAAGCAAAACTACTGAAGAAATCAAATATCGAGTTGGGCAACTGGACATTGATAAAAGATATTGGCGAATTGTTAGCTTTCGTTCTTTGAATCAAGTAAATGTCGCCTGTTCGTGTGGTAAGTTTGAGAGATGTGGGATTTTATGCAAGCATAGCCTATATGTGATGAAGAAGAGACTTGTTGAAACACTTCCGATTCACTATATTTTATCTCGATGGACCATTAATGCCAGGTACAAGGTGGGTAATCGTTGCATCGGACTAGAGGATAAGGATAATAAAAATGGAGTTAGTGCCTTAACTTTGTGGTGTGTTCGTTCAAATTTTACTAAATTAATTGAACAAGCAAGAGACTCCCCGTCAGAGATTCAAAAACTCAATACTTTACTTATTAGTCTTTTAGATGATCAAGCGATTAGAAAAAAAACTAATGTTTTTGAAAATGTATCTCAAAGTTCTTGCATGGGAATTTCACAAGTCGATATGATCCCTCAGTTATCTGTCCGGGATCCTTTTGGTCCAACTACAACCAAAGGGCGTCCTAAAAATGCAAGCAGACTTAAGTCTTGTTTAGAAGTGCCGAAAAAACGAACATGCTCTTATTGCCAGGGATTGGGCCATTATGCCACTAGTTGTTCAAAAAGAAAGGTCGTTACAAACTTATTAATTTTCATGATTTTCCGAATCTCATAGTTATATTGATTATCTATTAAAATTTTCATGTATCAGGTCGATGAATCGCTTCAAGAGAAACAGTGATAGGATGATTTTTTTCCAGTTTTAGGACCTGTTTCAGAACTTACTTTAGTTCTTGAACCTGTTTCAGAACTTACTTCAGTTCTTGAACCTGTTTCAGAAACTGCTTCATTTTCAGAACCTATTTCAGTTTTTTTACAACTTTAGAATCTGTTTCAGTTTTGGAATGAAAATTTTGAGTTATGGAATTTACTATTAAATGTTAAATGCATAGGTATCGTGTATTAAAATATAGATCCTTGCTAAAATTTAGATTAGGATAATTGTATGGTTATTTCTGTTTTGACCAGTAACAATTATAAATAATTTGGATTCTATGTTGAAAATCTGTTTTGGATAGAAAGCATGCTCGTTGCTGTTTTTGGAAAGAAAATTCTTTATGGTGGTTGTTTCATAGGTTAAAAAGATAAGTATGTTGATAATAAATGTTAAAAAGATAAGTAGGTTGCTATTACAAGTTAAAAAGATAAGTATATTGCTATTACAGGTTAAAAAAATATTAGTAGGTTGCTATTGCAATTTAAAAGATAAGTAGTTTGTTATTATAGGATGGCCTTATCTCTTAACTGACATTATTTATACTTTTATTCACCCTAATTTAGAGTAAACTTACTTTAGAAACATAATACCTAACCATTTCTTAACTGACCTTATTTATACTTTTATTCACCACCAACTTAGCAAAAAGGACTATAATACCCTTGACTCAAACAAACATAAAAGTCAAACGATCCCCTACAATTACTTCCTATTCTATGCATAAGTAAACCTCAAATAAGGTTTATCAAAAGTTCGTTGGTATATATACATAGGTCATTAGCCAAACTAATCAGAATGCAAATACATTGATATTGTTAATAAAATGTAAGTAAATGGTCGTTCGGAAAAATAATTAATGATATTATATATAAAACCATGTTTGTCAATAAACAATTTTGTGCTAATGACTATCAACAACTTCTAATTTTGAGCACACTTGACACATACAAACACTGCAAAAGCTTTTTTCTGGACACGGTGAGAAACCATCAGTTCCCTTGAAGCTCATGCTTGATAGTGAGCATATAACCCGTCGAATACTTGTCCAGGTGGAACTCTTGTTGGATAGTTTACAGCCACCTGAAACGACATGAATAATATGAGAGACTTTGGATGTTACACATGATAGGACTGATAACCAACAGTGGTCTAGAAAAAGAAATAAACAGACATTTAATAAGACAAAAATCATAACGGTTAATTAAGAATTTAAAGTAACCTCACCTGAAAATGATGAAAATGATAACCAACAGGTGAGTAGCACATGAACCAACTTTTATATCCTTTTGTTGCATACGAGACAATGTAGTTACCAAAAGTAGCTTAATAAATTGAAAATATATATAGCTTAATAAGTTGAAAAAATATATAGCTAAGTATGGTCAAAATGTAGCTACCAACTTTTATATCCATTTGTTGAGAATTACTTGTTGATTTCACCTGCTATTTGTAACCACCACATATATGAGTGAAAACTATGCTTTCCAAAACCAATCTAATTCTTTCATCCTAATAGGCATTTTCTCAAACACCTTATATGCATTCATATCAAACATTTACCATTAAATAAAAGAAAGTCAATAAACTATTTCTAACATATAAATCAATCAAACAAGAAGATTTTGCAATAGAAAGTACCTTTTATCGATAGTTTGTGCAAAAATCGGAACTTGAGATAAATCCAGAAATTTCAGAATCGGCAGCAAATTAAATAATCAAATTGGCAATTTCAATTACAAAATTGAGTAACATAGGAATATGAGAAAACAAGGTTCGACAATCAAATCAACAAATTGGTAATTTCAATTGCAATTTCAAACCTTTCTACTCTCTGTGCTATTAAAAAAACACCAATTCTAATTACAAGACAATCAATTTATAAATATGAGGAATGAATATTTATCTTATAAAAAAATAAGTAACCTGCAACAATGTCTTGAATATGGTGTAGAATATTCAAACAGCAACAATCGAGAACAAACAGAGCGATTAGCAAAAAATTATAATTTCAATCTCAACCCTTTATACTTTCTCGTTCTAATCAAAATACCGATTCCAATTACAAGCCATGATTTTTTTTTCCGATTAAACACAATCGACTTCTGAAAGTGAGGAAATCATGTGATACCGAAAATAAAGGAAACAAGATACGCTTGGAATATTACGTTATCAAGCAAATCGATTAATTGTTGAAATTAGCTCAAAACGACAACGTTTCTTATGTTGCATACCTAAGTTTGTGTGGGGCTATAACATATATTCACTTTTCCCTATATATATATATATATATATATATATATATATATATATATATATATATATATATATATATATATATATATATATATATATATATATATATATATATATATATATATATAAAGAGACTGTATCACATACACTAACACTCTTTCTAAAAGATGGAGGTTCAATAAAGATAGATATAATGTATTATGATATGGAAGTACAGACGTCGACATAAATATCTAATATCACACATGAGAGGTATATGTTGAATCTTTAACAAACTCTCCAAAATAACCTTAATGAGGGGGCGAGTTGTCCAGCATAAGTAGAGACATGCAAGACTGTGTCGCTGAGATAAATTGTTGTGGTTTGGGAGGAGAAGAAAAATTCTAGCTTTTATATACTTCTTATAACTTTTGAAAGTACTTATATTGAAGACAAGTTTAACACGTTATATTTAAAATAAATTATAAAATTCTAGTTAAGAGTATAAAAACTTATATTTTATTTTAAAACATGTACAAAATACTTTTATTTTAAAGCAATTATATTAAAAAAATCTCAAAAAATTTGTAGATTATACTAAAAAAATCTGAATAGTTATAAATAAACTAAATGAAACTTTTTTATAATTAAGTTGTTTAAATATCAATAATATATAATTAACTTTATAAAGTATATTTTAATATTATAAAGGGTTCATGTAGATTTTATTAAGTTTTTTTTAGTTTTATGCTTGTTAACATATTTTATAAATAATGCTCGAGTTTACTGTGTTTGTTAAAATCTTCATTAAACAATATTTCAATTTAATTTTTAGCTAATTAATATATTTTAGCTAATTTATAATATTAATTATTAAATTCGTAATAAATACACTATAAAATTTTATTTATTTTATTTACTACGTAATATATATATCTATATATATATATATATATATATATATATATATATATATATATATATATATATATATATATGGTTAGGTTCATGTGAGACGGTTTAATTTTGTGAGACCGTGAGACGCATTTTTTTATTTTTTTAATTTTTTTTATTATTTTATTTTTTTATTTTATTTTAGTTAATTCAAGTTCCGAAAATAATATTTAAAAAAAGAATTTTTTGATTTTTCCATTTATTTTGCATTTTAAAATTATTTTTAGAATATGTACAGTGTAATATTCTATTTAGAATATTTCACGTATTTTTCAAAAAAAAAATAGGATTTTTTTTTAGTTAATTCAAGTTCCGAAAATAATATTTAAAAAAAAAAAGAATTTTTAGATTTTTCCATTTATTTTGCATTTTAAAATTATTTTTTAGAATATGTCAGTGTAATATTCTATTTAGAATATTTCACATATTTTTCAAAAAAAAAGGGATTATTTTTATTTTTTTATTTTTTTTTTATTTTTTTTAGTTAATTCAAGTTCCGAAAATAATATTTAAAAAAAGAATTTTTGGATTTTTCCATTTATTTTACATTTTAAAATTATTTTTAGATTTGGTCTCACGGTCTCACAAAATTCAAATGGTCTCAAATGAACCTGAACATATATATATATATATATATATATATATATATATATATATATATATATATATATATATATATATATATATATATATATAAAGATCTTACATATTTGATTTATACATTTAAAAAATATTTATTTTTATAATATTATATATGCTGAAGAACAAAAGAAAAAATATAAAAAATACATAAAACATTTTACAAATATAAAAAATACATTCATTAATTAAAAAGAAACTTTTTAAATTGATCAATGATTAATTAATATTTGTAATAGTAAGTTTGATAAAAAAAAATAGTAGAGAAATGATTTACCAAATCAAATGACAATAAATGAAATGATTGATCAATCATTTTCAATGATTTACAAATAATGCTTAGAAAAATAATATGAACAAAATTGAAAATAAAATATCTATTAAAAGTAAGATAAATAGGGGAAAAAATGATTTAGGTGGTAATGAAATTATTATTTTGTTCATATTTATACAAGTTTTTTTTTATATAATTGATCTTCAAACTTGTTAATTGTATCCACAGGTTATCATTGTCATATTCGATGACAATGATAACATAACATAAAATTGATTGACAATCGTTTAAAAAAAAATTATCTAACAAAAAGTATATTCTAATAAATCATTTTCCCATGTACTAATGAGATCGGGTTGTGACACATACAAGAATGCTTATTGTCCACAACAGGATATTAAGATTACTTATTGTCGAAAAACACGCCAACTATCACTAAGTTGCCGAGACCATAATATTAAGAATACTTATTGTGGTATTTTTTTTTATTGAATTTAAAAAGATTATTGGTAAAGTATACTAGCTAGCGAAGGACATGTGAATTGGTTGGCAAAACCATAAAGTTAGGCCTCCAAAGAAAAGGGTGTTGGCCCTGTTGTAACATATGATCAAATGACATGTTCTATGTGTGGTTTTACTAGGACTATAAGATTTGTGTAAAATAATCCGGAGATCTTTATCATAAGTTAGGCTCTATAATTGTGTATCTAAAAGATTAGAAAAACATACATTAGTGAAACTAACACCAAAATTTTTAACTGACTCATGTGTAGTTTCGAATATTCTGAAATAAGATCTATGTATGCATAAAAGGGAATCAAACTATACTTACCATACCAATTTTTTCCCAAAAAATTCCTTATTT